CCATGAACTAAACCTAGCGAAACTCAACTAAGCTAAGTGTAAAAGATTCATCTTAAAAATAACCTGGGCCCTATGGCCCAAAATGTTAATATTTGCAATTTCAAGATGATTATATTTGATCTAGTGAAACATGTTGATCTTGTTCAACATGTTTAGCTGATGGCATTCCTGCAGAAATCTTAAAGCTTGTTGGTGTTCATTAGACTGTTACTTGACATACAAATCAGTTACCTATACTCAAAGAATTCAGTACACAATACAGCACTTGTAATCATGGACTCTGCTATGCTGTAAGTTAGTTAAAACCAATCTTTAAACTTAAAGTGTGACCCTTTTTTACATTCTAAGTGCTATTGAACTTGGATTTTAATGCAATGTAGTGTAAATTTTAATTGGTTGCTTGTTTTTATGGAATTTAACTTTAAAATCTTAAAGAGGGTCCCCAATTTCAAAGTTTTACATCGATGGAAGTATTGTTTTGTTTTAAAATATGGGACTCTTTTATCTTAAACATTCAGTACATCATGAATTGGGTCTAAAAAATACCTCCAACTCAGCAAACCTGCAGACTAAGCGAAATTCAATTTGCCTTATTTAAATTTCACTTAATCTATTTAAATAGGTAACATAAGGTTTGACGATTACTTAGGTTTGCTAATACATGGAGAGTAATAAAGTGTAATTTTTAGTAAAATACTTAATAGCTTAGTATAAAATAAAAAAATACCGTGGGAATTTTTATTTTAGCAAATTTCCCATACAGGGAATAAGCTATTACCATAGGTCTCATGGTGAGACCTAGACCCGGGACCGATTTACTTTTTCCTTTATGGCCCCAGAGGCCAAAACACACTCCGTTTAAACTCATATATATATTTACAGGGTGACAAAAAAGTCTAGAAACGGCTTGATATCTTTTTAACTAAATTTGTTAAAAAATTCAAATCTTTCACACCAACTTATATGTATGAAAACTATTTTTTGCAAGCATTACCATTTTTTTACCTTCACCAGGGGACGGCCCATGAGGAGTAGGTACATAATCTTTAATTTAAGCATAGGTTGATATTCACATCTTTTTAAAGGTCTGGTCAAGTGGAGTTCATTGCCCGAAACCGTGTCAAAAAAAGTTAATCCGTTACAAAATGGCGGCAGTCCAAAGTTCTTGCAGAATATACCTGCACAGGCTTAGAGTTGGTAAATACTCATAGTCAACATTAGCCGGGAAATCTGAAACCCGGTTAAATTTGTTTTGAAGATTGAATAAACTTAGTCTATGAGCTAGCTGACTTTAAAATACAATTTCAGCTCTCAAGCTAATGTTTAATACGAGTATTTACCAATACTAAGGCCTGTGCAGGTATTTTCCGCAAGAACATTGGACTGCCACCATTTTAAAACGGATGGACCTCTTTTGACGCGGTTTCCGGCAATGAACTCCACTTGACCAGACCTTTAAAATGATGTGCATATCAACCTATGCTTACATTAAAGATTATGTACCTACTGTTAACACCGCTGCCCCCGCCATCACTAATATCATTCGTTTTGTCCTCCCCCACTTCCAAACCGGAGGAGGACATCATAGTTAAATATATTATTATTGGCAGAACACAGGTTGTTGGTAATTTGAATAATAAAACAGTATATTATAAAAGAAAGAGAAGAGAGAGATAGGTCTTGTTTGGATGAACAACAGAATGTAATTGATATTTTTTTACAAAATATAAAAAACATAAAACAGCTGAACATATGATATTAAATACAAAGTAAAAAGGGAAATTAATAGTACAGAACAAATGGTAAATATAATGTAATTTATAATGTAGTGGTAACACCTACTCCTCATGGGCCATCCCCTGGTGAAGGTAAAAAAATGGTAATGCTTGCAAAAAGTATTTTTCATGCATGTAAGTTTATGTGAAAGGTTTGAATTTTATAACGGATTTGGTTAAACAGATATTAAGCCATTTCCAGACTTTTTTCACCCTGCATATCATACTAATCTTACTAATATTATAAATGTGAAAGTTTGTGTGTTTGTTTGTTTGTTTGTTTGTTTGTTTGTTTGTTTGAAGTTCAATCACGCATAAACCACTGGACGGATTGGGCTGAAATTTGGCATGATGATAGCTTACATTCCCGATTAACATATAGGCATATTCTTATCTCAAAAATCCTTTCGGGCTCCGCCCCAGTGGCTCTGTAATTCCCCATGTTAACCTTATGAGTATTCATATTTAAAGGGAATTAAAGAATTTAGTCAGCTGTTTCAACTAAAAAAGTTGGTTCTATGATATGAAAAAGCATTAAAAAGTTATAAGATTTAACAAACAGGGTGCAGCACTATATTTTTTTTGCATTTATGAAAACAGCTAATTTGAACTAAGCAGCAACAAAAAACTGTGATTCGCAATGAGAACTGTCAAAGTAGGATTGTTTACAGTTATGTTTATGTTTTCATTTCATGAATAATTTGTGATATTTTGCGAATTTTTGATAATTTATTTTCTCTATTGTTTAGGTGAAGTGGTAGAACATTATGGCTATGGTAGATGTGTAATACTATAGGCCTAGAATACTGTAAATTTAAAAAAGCAAATTTTATCAAACTGTGTCCTCCCTTATTGCAAACGCAAAGCTTGAGTATAACTGCAATAAACATTTTATACACATTCCATCCCCGTACGAAGGACGGGTACTCTGCTAGTATTATTAATGTGAAACTTTGTGTGTTTGTTTGTTTGTTTTAAGTTCAATCACGCTTTAACTACTGGATAGATTGGGCTGAAATTTGGCATGATGATAGCTCACATTCCCGATTAACATATTGGCCTAATCTTATCTGAAAAATCCTATCGGGCTCCGGCCCAGTGGCTCTGTCGTTCCCCATGTTAACCTTATAAGTACTCATATTTAAAAGGAATTGAAGAATTTAAGTTGGTTCTATGATATCATAGACAAAAAGAATTAAATATAGACTGTCAGCTTTGCTGCGTTTGACATAGGTTATGGCGCACAGCACACCGCTGGGAGCTACCCTATGTAGTTACGCGCTACGTAACTACTTGGCGCTCCCAGCGGTGTGCGCCACAACCTATGGCAACCACTGCAAGGCAGAAACAAAAACTTATGTGCAATGGGAACTGTCAAAGTAGGATTGTTTACAGTTATGTTTTATGTTTTTAATTTATTGAATGATTTGTGATTGTGCAAATGTTTGATAGTTTATTTTTTCTAAGGTTTAGGTGCAGTGGTAGAACATTATGGCAATGGTATATGTGTTATACTATAGCATGCCGTAAATTTAAAGAACAAAATTTGGTGAGTCGGTGGCTCAATCGGTAGCGTCGCGGACTTCGGGCCCAAGGCAGTAGTGTCGTGGGTTCGGATCCTGGTCACTGCCACTAACTTTTATCAGTACAGTTCACCGTGGAACTGTACCGGCTCACCCCTTGCTTTGCTGGATACGTTCCACGCACAGATCTGTAGTCTATGTGGACGGGCAAATGCAAGGTTAAAAGAGGCCGCCAACCTCTTAAAAAAAAAATTTTTACCAAACTGTGTCCTTCCCAATTGCAAACGCAAAGCTTGAGTATTACTGCAACAAGCATTTTATACTTATGTGCCAACCCTTATATGCTTATATATGCTTATATATATGCTCAAGCAAAAATTATCTGATGTTCATGAAATTTGGTACAAACGTGTAAACCTACGTTTATTCGAACAAGTTCGCAAACAAGCATGATCGGACTATGAGAATGGGGGTTTATGGGGGGTTTTATGGAGTAACAATTGGTTTTTCCCATTTTCGACCCTAAAAACACAAAATTTAACAATTTCTTTCCAAACCGTTTTGTGAAAATTAAAAAAGGAAATAATTTTGTATATTGAAGAGTATTTTTATGCCTAACGGTTACAGAGACGATTAAATAAATTGTAAATTTAAAATTCCCATGTTATTCTTATGGGGAATAAATAAACTGTTTTAGTTTGCTTGTTAATGGATATATTTTAATCAAATTTGCCATTTTTGTACTACTAAGCTATCAACGCTATCATACTAAGCTATCAACATTTCAATTAAAAAACACCTCAATACCTTCCCTGTAGCAGCAAACCTAAGAACTCATTAAAATTAATGTTATTCAAATAGGAAATAAATCTGAGAATTTTAAGGAAATATTTGAGTAGAAATCCAGCTAGGAAAATGGAAATTTTCTTAGTCTGCAGGTTTACTGCGGTGGGGTATATTTTCCCTGCATTAAATAATTGTACAACAATATTCCAATGTACTAATTTACTGGTTTCTCATGCTGTTCAAAATGGTTTAGAGAGAAAATATTTTATTTTGATATGGTCCAAAATGAGAAAAACCAAATTTTACCCATTACCCTGTGTTCAGTAAACTTTAACCATTCATATTATTTAACACTCTATGTTTTATTTAATGTACATCTCTTTTCCTTGCAACTAACATGTGTTCTTAATCAAATTAAATTATTCTCTATTGCTAACACATGTTGTGTATCAAAAAGTAAATAAAACAGTGCTTGTTCTCCTATCCCAAAAGTGTGTTCATTTTTTTCTCATCTTATAATCTCCATTTAATTTCATTCTCTACAAAACCTCAAACACAGGCCGTTACTTAGTTCAGCTACCATTTAAAGAAAATCATCCACCTTTAGGATCTTCCAAACTCATCGCAGAACGACGTTTTCACTCACTTGAACGACGTTTTACACTCTCTCCTGATTTGTATAAAGCTTACTCTGACAATATAAATGAACACATCTCTCAAGGTCATATGGTACATTCATTGGTCCTTCGAGCCGGATTTTGAATTTCAGTCTTTGGATTCAATTTTCAGAACACTTTCAAGCTATCGAAATATCTTTATTTTATCATTCAATCTCTTTATGTTTCTCCCCACTCTCATAGTGTCACAAACTCTATCTAATTCTTAGTAAAGTTTCACTCCATCTGTTTTGTCCAATATGGCTACCAGATCAATTTCACTCTCAAACTTCAACAAATCAACCCTTCTCATACAAAATTCTTTTGAAAAGATTCTCAAATCTGTACAAGAGCTTGAAACACTTTCCCCCTCAATCTTGTCAGTGATACAAATCAGAACTTTAAACAACTTCTCGAACCAGTTAGAAAAGAAACATGAAGCCTATGAAAATTACCTGGAAAGAGCCTTGGAACATATATCAGAAGAATTAGATTTGGATGCAGTAAGTGACACTGAAGACAAACTGCGACTGCTATTCGTCGAAGCCAAGTCTCGGATTGAAGCCCTTCTCCAACAGCAGCCGCAAGATGTTCCAGAAGAAAGTAAAGATTCAACAAGAATTAGTGACATCTCAGCTTCATCATCTGCTCACGTAAGACTCCCAAAACTAGACCTCATCACGTTTGATGGTTCTCCTCTACAGTGGGTAAGTTTCATCAACTTATTTGACACTAGCATCCATCTGAATGAAAGCATTTCAAACGTCACTAAATTTCAATATCTTCTCAGCGTGCTCAAAAATGAACCACTAAATCTCGTAAAAGCTTTCAGTATCACTTCAGCCAATTACTCAATTGCCTATCAGCTCCTCAGAGACAGATACCACAACACCCGAAGGTTAACTACACTTCACCTCAACAAACTGATCGACCTACCGGACATTTCCTCTACCTCAAACAAATGTCTCAGAACGTTCCTCAACTTGTTTTATGAACACACAGAAGCACTTAAAGCTCTTGACTGTGACATTACTTCTAACTCTAACCCTCTGTTGTCCACGATACTCTTACGAAAACTAGACAATGACCTTCTAAAACAACTAGAGGCTTTTAGAATTAATATAAAATGCGAAACACATTCTCTACCAGAAGTAGTCGAAATAGTCAAGTTTCTTAATCAAGAGTGTAACCAAATGGAAGACGCTGTGTTACATACCAAGTTTGCTCAAAGTACGAACAACCACAATTCAAATTTTAAACCCAAATCTTTCACATCCAAGCCCTCTTTCATTCAAGCTCAGAAAGTTACAATGGTCTCTACTCCAACTCCATCAAATCAAGACAACTCAAAAAATCCTTTCTCATTTCCCTGCTTTGTCTGCTCATCAACTGGCCACAAGGTTTATGCTTGTCCTAGCTTTCTCTCTCTTTCTTCAAATGAACGTTTTAAAACCGTAAAGGACAACAACAGATGTGTCTCTTGCCTCGGAAAACATGATGTTAAAACATGTAAGTCTAAAGCATCTTGCTTCAAATGCCACAAACGTCATCACACCTTACTTCATTTTGAACATGACAAGACATCTCAAGGTTCTACATCATCACAACCATCAACCACTCATGTTTCGAATGAAAAACCTACCGTATCTCTTTGCTCACAGGAAGCCAGTCCTGCTAATCAAATCCCTAAAACTGTAATTTTAGGCACAACACTGGTTAAAGTTACTGCTCAAAATAACGTTTCTCATGTGTTCAGAGCATTGATTGATAGTGGCAGCATGTGTGATTTTATTAGTGAAAAAGCTGCTCAACTACTGAATGCACCTCGTTTCAAATCCAACTTACAAGTAGTTGGTCTTTCTCAATCTCCAACTCTCACAAAGGGTATTGTGAACCTCACTGTTAACACACTGGCAGGAAAATTAGTTGCATCCAACCATGAAGTGCACATACTTGATAAAATATCTATCAATCTCCCTAGATCTCAAATATCACAAAGAGTTCTATTGAAAGTAAAACCTTACCCCCTTGCTGATCCCAGCTTCCACTTATCAGGGCCCATTGACATGCTGATCGGAGCTTCTCTCTTCCCTCTTCTTTTAACGAATGAAAACTATTCTCTCGGCCCTAACATGCCTAACATGATGGGAACTCACTTTGGCTTTGTTGTTATGGGGAATGCACCTTGTTCAACCGATTCCCAGCCTGCCAACACTCCATCCATCTCTCTGCTCTCAACGGTTGACAACGAATTGCATAACTCTCTACAGAAATTTTGGAAATTAGAGGAATTATCTGTACCCTCAAAGATATCGGTTGAAGAGCAACAGTGTGAAGATCTGTTTAAAGCTACCCACTCTAGGGACGAAAATGGCCGTTACTTAGTTCAGCTACCATTTAAAGAAAATCATCCACCTTTAGGATCTTCCAAACTCATCGCAGAACGACGTTTTCACTCACTTGAACGACGTTTTACACTCTCTCCTGATTTGTATAAAGCTTACTCTGACAATATAAATGAACACATCTCTCAAGGTCATATGGTAAAACTACCTCATCTAGATATCAACTCTCCTCACTATTTCTTGCCACACCATGCAGTTGTGAAACCATCCAGTACCTCAACTAAACTCCGAATCGTTTATGATGCAAGCTGCAAAACCAGCTCTGGAATTTCCCTCAATGATTCTCTCATGACCGGCCCTAAATTACAGACCAACATTTGTGATATATTGCTACATTTCAGAATACACAATATCGTTTTCACTTGCGATATTCGCCAAATGTATCTTCAAATCTTAATCAAACCTTCCGATCAACTGTTCCAACTCGTCTTGTGGCGTGACAATCCCTCTGAAGATATATCCACATACAAACTCACTCGAGTGACTTTTGGAGTAAATAGCTCACCCTACTTAGCGATTCGTACCCTCCACCAGTTAGCTGAAGACGAAGGTAAAGACTTCCCTGAAGCAGCAAATGTCTTGCGCACTCAGACTTACGTAGACGACATTGTAACTGGAGCAGACACGGTAGATGAAGCAAAGAACCTTCAAAATCAACTCATTCAACTACTCAACCGTGGACACTTTGAACTTCGAAAATGGACTTCAAATTCTCCCGAGCTTCTTCAGTCTCTTCCAGACACTCATAAAGACTCTCCAGTCTTTCTTGAAAATACACCTGATCCCCATTTCTCAATTCTTGGCTTACACTGGTCTCCAGACTCGGACAATTTTTCATTTCATCTCAACCTACCGCCAAAAACACTAACTAAACGTCACGTTCTCAGTCTAGTCGCTAAAATATACGATCCTTGTGGATTTCTTAGCCCATGTACTATGACAGCGAAATGTTTTATTCAACTTCTCTGGACGACCGGTCTACAATGGGATGAACCTCTCACTCCAGAACTTAGTGCAATTTGGAGTAACTTTATCTCAGCGATACCAGCACTTGCAGACATTCAGATCCCTAGAGCATTGAAAATCTCTCCAAATTCTAGTGTTGAACTTCACGGCTTCTCAGACGCCTCTGAACGTGGGTTTTCAGCTGTTGTCTATGTACGATGTTCCCAACCCAACGGAGAAGTGACCACACGTATGGTTTTATCTAAAACTAGAGTCGCCCCTCTCAAGAAGGTGACTCTTCCACGATTAGAACTCTGCGCTGCCCACTTATTAGCTCAACTCGTAAACTTCTGTTGTTCTTCATTCAAACCCTTAATTTCACTCAACCAATGTTATTTGTGGTGTGATTCTTCAGTAACCTTGACATGGCTTCAAACTCCATCTTACAGGCTGAAAACATTCGTGGCTAACAGAGTCACCCAAACACAAGAACTTGTCCCCTATCACTGTTGGCGTTACATCCCTAGCAAGGAAAACCCTGCTGATTGTGCTTCAAGAGGTATTCTAGCCACTGAGCTTGTGTCTCACCCCCTTTGGTGGTCAGGGCCTTCTTGGCTTTCTCTTCCCCCTTCAAACTGGCCTGATGTAACTTTTTCACCTACAGATATCTCAACATTAGATGAAGTAAAACACACTCCTCTAACTGTACTTGTGTCAACTACCACTGAATCTACGCTGACCAATCTTCTCATTAAATATTCTTCATGGGAACGACTTCTTAGGATTTTTGCTTACGTCCTTCGTTTCATACACAACTGTAAAGGTTCTGAAAAACGCCAAGGTTTCATCTCAACACAGGAACTGAAAGACACAAAATATCACATTTTTAAACTTGTACAAAAAGAAGTATTCACAGAAGAAATCAACTGCCTCAAACGGAAATCATTTTGCTCCACTCGTTTACAACGTCTTTCACCTTTCATTGACTCATTTGGATTATTGCGTGTTGGAGGACGTCTTTCTCAGACATCACTTCCTGAAGATGCTCGACATCCCATTATTCTGCCAAAAAAGCATCATGTGGTAAATCTCCTCATTGACCACTACCATATCTACAATCTTCATTCAGGCCCTCAGCTTACTCAAGCATTACTTTACAAACATGTTTGGATACTGTCTGCCCGTTGTGCCATACGCTCTCGTATCCATAAATGTGTCAGATGTTTCAAAGTCAAACCTAGAAATGTGTGTCCTCTCATGGCTGATCTCCCTCAGTCTCGTGTAACTCCTGCTCGACCTTTCCTCCACACCGGCATAGATTATGCAGGGCCTTTTACTGTAAAAATCTTCAACCTCAAGGCAGTGAGACACATAAAGTCATACTTTTGTACTTTCATCTGCCTCGTCACGAAAGCTGTACATTTGGAAGTAGTAACAGACCTAACGACTGAATCTTTCATTGCTGCAATGACTCGATTTGTATCTCGCAGAGGACATTCTTCCGACATTTACTCGGATTGTGGGTCCAACTTCATTGGTGCTGACTCTACCCTACGCAAGATTGTTGAAAAATCTCTTTATTGTCAAGACTCCAAACGGAAGATTCAACGATTCTCTTCACTTAAAGGCATCAATTTTCATTTTAATCCACCAGCCGCTCCGCATCAAGGAGGATTGTGGGAATCGTCTGTAAAGAATGTGAAACATCATCTCCGTCGAGTAATGGGAAACTCAGTCTTAACACTCATTGAATTCATCACATTGTTGACCCAAATCGAAGCAATGCTCAATTCCCGACCACTGACACCTCTTTCAAATGATCCTTCGGATCTCGCAGCACTGACTCCCGGACACTTCCTGATTGGTGCACCCCTCACAGCAGTACCTGAACCTAATCTCCTGACAGTTCCTGAAAACCGTCTCAAGCAATGGCAGCTAGTTCAAGCATTTCATCAACGCACATGGCATAGATGGCACCTAGAATACTTAAACAACTTGCAACAACGTACCAAGTGGACTCGGAAATCAAAAAATCTTGAAGTGGGTGACCTTGTTCTGGTACATATGGACTCACCACCTCTCTCGTGGCCTCTCGCTCGAATTACAGCAGTTCATCCAGGGGCTGATGGGGTTGTGCGAGTGATAGACTTAAAAACATCAAGTGGCAACCTCAGAAGATCTGCCCACAAAGTGTTTCCCCTGCCAACTGTGGATTCGTGAACTGTTTTTGTTGAATCCACTGGGGATTCAAGGCCCCCGGTATGTTCAGTAAACTTTAACCATTCATATTATTTAACACTCTATGTTTTATTTAATGTACATCTCTTTTCCTTGCAACTAACATGTGTTCTTAATCAAATTAAATTATTCTCTATTGCTAACACATGTTGTGTATCAAAAAGTAAATAAAACAGTGCTTGTTCTCCTATCCCAAAAGTGTGTTCATTTTTTTCTCATCTTATAATCTCCATTTAATTTCATTCTCTACAAAACATTCACCCTGTTCCTGTAGTTCGATCATAGTTCTGCGCTCTCTCGTCTGACCAGATTTGTACAAAATTTCATTGAAATTGGATGGTATATAAATGAATCTGAATGGATAGGGTTTTTTGCCACTGGAACATCAAAACTAAATATTAAAGTGGTCCCAGGTCTATGTCTTACCATGAGACCTGAGACAGTAATAGCTTAGTCTATTCCCAATACTGTATATATGAGAAATTCGCTGGATAGTAGCTAAGAAACCAAACTAAAAAGTTGTAGGTCTAAAAACTATTTTAAATTATCCATAATCTTAAAACAATAAGGGGTTTCCCTGTAACATCCTTTTTCCAGCCAATTTACTTTAAAACATAGGTAATGTAAGTGTCAGATTTTTATATTAATTGTTAGGTGTAATTTTAGCTAATAATCAAGCTGCAATTGCAAATGGTAATTTCCTTTAGGGCTTTGACCCCTCTACGTTGAATTTATATCCAGAGTCCATTTTCAAAGATCTTCGATCTTTGGGTCAGCATGTCTGGTATAATGACAAACTTTCTTTATAAAGGTTTAAATCTGCATTGTAATTTACAGTGGCGGTTCTAGGGCCTTATCATGGGGGGCTTGCAGGTTGTTCTTCACCAGAAGGAAGTCCAAGAGCTTCTCGCACGGACAATTTTCTATTTTTAACACGTTGGGTGCTGATGACGGGAATTCCCGCAATTGCTTAACATTGAAATAAATGCAACTTTTATGTTCAAACATGTCGACCGCACGAATAGTGTTAAAGCCATATTTAAGGTCTATAACCACCACCGTTACGTTTTTATAACAAAATTTATGTTTGAATTTATACTTCCAGGGTCCAATTGGGGTGAGGGGCTTTCTAAAGCCTCTATGCCCCCCCCCCTTTGAATTGCCACTGGTAATTTAACAGCTGTTACTTTGTGTGAATGTTGAGCCACAGTCAGAATGTAAACAAGAGACTAAGCAGTTCACTTGGTCTATGTAAATGATGATTAGTGGTATTATATGATAGTTGGCAAAACAGTTTTTTTACTTTGCTGCATCACTGGTCCATGGTCTGTGAGTACTGTGAACCAAGTGATACCCGCTCTAGATGTGTAATATTAAAATGTACCCTGGTCCGTGACAATGATCTCAGCATCGCATATATGTGGCAATCGGTAGCGAGCGTGTTGAAAGGAAGACATGATGAGCGTTATTTCACACTCGTTTTAACGGATCAGACTATGATACAAAAATAATCAGATTACCAAGGCACTATTGGCTGTTATTTTGTGATGCATACTGTAAGCAGGAAAACACAGTGAACAGTTTCACAGAGTACTTACGATATATTATCACATGAAATGTTTGTTTGATATAAATATGTAGGCCTATTCAAATATTTCATTCAACGTCATAGTTTTTTCTGTTGTTATTATCAGTATATCTATAAAAGCCCTGCCACTCTGCTGCATATAGGTTAGGTTAGTTAGAATCATTTTAGTTTATGATAATGACAAAATATCATTTTTTAAATTCAACCTTTTTCATAAGTAGGGACCTAGTCTTTAAAAAGAAGGTAGTTATTACTGTACCATGAACTAAACCTAGCGAAACTCAACTAAGCTAACCAAATACCCGCAGAACAGTGTAAGTTTCTTCTTAAAAATAACCTAGAGGCCCTATGACCCAAAATGTTCATTTTAACATAGCTATTTTATACAACGTGAAACAATATATGTTACCCACGTAGCCTATAATATTTTTTTTTTTAATACATGATGTTATGTATGTAGCCTTCCCCTACCCAAGATGCGATTAGCGTTACTTTATATGACCAGTCTAGCCTAACCTAAGGGTAAAAACACACATACAGCGACTGGGAACAGAGCGGAACGGCGCGATTTAGAGTGACAAAATCAAACCAATACAATCAAGTAGTAACACGCACACAAACTGCTGTTGCGAGCATAGCGGAGCGAAACGGTTAACTTAGGAACAATCTCGTTTGTTTTTCTATTATTTGGGAGCGGAGCGGGCAACGATTCTGTGGACATTTTTAGGTCCACTTTCGCCAGTAGGCTGCTCTGTATGCCCATTCCACCCTAAACAAAACTTACCCAGAGTGTTTCAGAACCTTCTCGAACCTTTTCTTTTTGAAAGAATGCATTCAAAGGTTGAGGTAGAATGGTATTGCATAAATCATGATTAATACTTCTTAACAACACGTCAGATGTGCGTCGCTACCACACGTCTGTTCCAAATGACGCCACATTATACGTTCCTAATCCAGTTACTTTTATAACTGTTTAAAAACAGATTGCCCTCAAAGAAAACCTAGTACCGTATAGGAACGGTAGTGCCTCTTAACCTCATTAGCCGAAATGGATGGAATCAACTTCACTTTATCTGTCCGCACCTATAATATTGATTATGAAATTAAATTGTTCTAAACTATTACATCTAACCTAATCAAACTTGCTGTAACATTTCAAAATACGGTTTGATAGTAGAATTCTGAAATTTAGGCTAACTGTTCTTAACTAACCTAACCTAACCAAACTGTCTGTAGCATTTCAAAAATTGGCCCTTTTGATAACAGAAATGGCTTTCGCGCTCAATTGACTGTTCTACTGTTGACTGTGTCCGACATCAGTCGCTCACACTCTCGACCTACAGCCCGCCTGCTCCGCTCTGAATTGCTGTAGCCTATGTGTTTTTTTACCCTAAGACATATTAGGTATAGAAGCACAATTAATTGGACATAAGCTATCTAGATCCTAACATTTATAGGTACGGTACTACAATTCAAAATGGCCTTGATTTACGCAATATCGTAGCCTTAAATGGTATCTTCATTACGCAATTGGCTATTATTAAAAATTGAAAATAGGGCACTGCATTGGAGTTGCTTATTTGGATAAACCCAAGCAAAAAATTGCCAACTACGACTTGGCTTATTTTCTAACTCTGTCCACTATTAGGCCCCTACAGGCCTAGGCCTAACTAAGTAAAATTAGGATGAAACATGTATTCATGGTGATACTCCAAAGTCAATTAAAAACCAAGGAGTACATGCCTAGGAGTAAAGTTTGGCAGAGAACCTGTGATGTATTAATATCGTTTTAAATATAAATAAATTGAGGCCTGTATCGATTTTGATTCGGTTCGATACATAAGAAGCTATCGTTTCCACAATATAATTTTGTTATTTGAATGTGTGTCGAATCGAGCTAAATTATTGATTTTCAGTAAATGAAATTATCAATACAATGCAAGTATTGATAAAAATGCAAGCATTTTTGAAAAGGTAATTTGAAGTGTTTTTCTCAAGATTTTAATTTTACAAAAACAGTATGCAGGCGACATAAACTAACAACTCGATACATTATAACCTAAACTTTACCTTCCTAATCTAACCTAACTTCAAAACACTTAATGCAGTCACCAATTCGCATAAAGCACGACCTACCACCCTGACATGCCTAAATGAGAACTGTAATTTTACAGTTGCTTGTCGTGTGGTTGAAAACAGTCAGCTGTAGGCTTAGTTAACCCACAGTTCATTCCACTTGTAAATGTTATCCATCCTACCTTGTTTATTGTAATGTTGTATATTTCTACGGCTATATCTTGAGAAATATTCATCAGCGGTGAAAAAAATAATAGTAGGCTATATTTGGATTCAGGAGGTAAAAAATTATAAAGTAAGATATCAAAATTAAAAATTCGTTTGGAGGCACCTATACGGAATAAATACGTATCGTTTGGTTACTTAGGTAGGTAAGGTTAACCTAACCTAACTAACCAAACAATATATCGAATTAAACAATCGAATAATCAATAGGCCTATTAGCCTACTCATTCGGTTATTTGTGCCAACAGATATGGAAGTTTACCCACACAGGCTGCTATTCTTGTCTTAAGTACAGTAATTTAATTAGCTTACTGTTTTCTAGAAGCGGAGCGACACACATTCTTATTCGCTTTTCCGCAATCCGGGCCGAGAAAAACCTAGCTTAAGTTAAGGCCCAGAGATATAGGCTACCTACCTATCTAAGTTAAAGGCAAGAATAAATTTATCTATATAAGGCCTAGGTCCTTAAGCTTAAGTTAATTGGGCTGTAGAATAGGCCTAGGTAGGCCTAGGCTATTAGCCTACCTTTGATTGTACGCTACCCGAACACGAACGTTGTCAGTTTTGATAGGGCACACTCTTGTCAGTTTAAAATGGGCCAACACTTGAAAGATCATATCTCAACAATGACAATTAATTTTTAAACAACACAGTAATATATTTCCTTAATCCTTCCTTGCCAATGGCCATGAATCCCTCAGATTTTCATGGTTAATGCATCGAGCCTCTTTAACCTGGATCTAGTCTTTTAGTTGCGATTGACGACTGTAGTATCACAAACTACACTTCAAAGTGTAACCATAACACCCTAACTACTACAATTAATTACTTTATTACTATTTAACTAACGGTGTTAACATCAACATAAAACTCAGCTCAGCAGGCAGCACCCAACAACACGAACACACAATCACGATTCACGAATCACAACACATTCAACGATTCAACACAATCCAATCGACGACGACGACGATAAACAAATTTTGAAAAAAAGTGACTCTTTAAAAAAAAATAGTAATACAGTAGAACCTCTTTAATCCGAACTAATTGGGACCGGGGGTAGTTTGGACTATTGAATAGTTCGGATTACAGAACATACTGTTGTTTTTACATAACAATAGCTAAAACAAGGCTAAAATGGATCGTAATTGCTATGGGAAATGTTAAAAAATGCTTTACAAAAATAAAATACAGTGTTTATTTAATAAAGTAGTAAACACATTGAATAAACAGAACTGTACATTAAATAGCCTATACAATATAGAAATACTGTACTGTGTATAGAGTACACCAATGAGGTGTTCGGATTAGTGGACGTTCAGATTACAGGGGTTCGGATTAAAGAGGTTCTACTGTAATTAGGCTGATATTATTCAAGCCTACTGAACAAACAACCATAACAACATGTAACTACCTAAATCATTTTATCGAATGTAAGTTAATAAATTTCGGTGGATATTTTTAAATCCGATATTTATTTCCACATAGTTATAAGTTAGTGTAAAGCGTTCTTATGCGTAAAACTGTTTACTCCATGGATGAAAGAAATAATAGACAATTTGGTCTCTTTGTCTAAAGCAAGAAGCAAAATAACAAAATTGTTGCTCGTAAAATGTAAACAAAAAAAAAGAAGAAGAAGGTAGCTCCTAATGTTATTCTTATGGGGGAAAATTAAAATGGTCTTTTTAGGATTAAATAGTAATTACTGAACAAATATGCTCCAAAAACGATCCCCGGCATGATATTATACTATAGAATCTTTGTGCAAAACATCAAGTTGATAGATGTAATCGTTCTCGAGTTTTTGTAATCCATAGAGATGCTTTTCGTACCAGTATGAGAATTCACTTCGTTCATTCAATTAAAGTTTATCCTGACACATCGTATAAATTCTTCATTTGTTACAGGTTATTGTCCAAATAAATTAAAAATTGCTAGAATCATACCAGTTCATAAAAAGAATTCTAAAAATGATGTTTCTAATTACCGGCCAGTATCAGTTCTTCCCACAATTTCAAAAGTATATGAAAAAGCAGTTTACAACAGATTGATAGAATTTTTAAGCAGATCAGAGCAAATTGATAATGAACAGCATGGTTTCTGGGCTGGAAGATCAACAGTCACTGCAGCAATTAGTCTCATTGAAGCCATAATAGATTATGTTGATAAAGGCTTAAATACTGCTGGAACGTTTATGGACATGTCGCAGGCCTTTGACAATGTAGATCATATTATGGTTTTGCTAAACAAGCTTAAGATAATGGGCATTAAGGGTGTTGCACATAAATGGTTCACTTCATATTTGGGGGATCGCTATCAATTTGTAGAACTCTCTTATTTATCAAAAAACAATTGGATACAGAAGACAAAATCAGATTTACTACAAACGCATGGGCCCCTCAGGGTTCTATTTTGGGCCCCATTTTATTTATATGCTACATTAAAAACCTCCCAAATGCATTGACTCAGTCAGCCAGTACATTAAGTATATATGCTGATGATATCAATCTTAAAACTTCGGGTAATTCAATCACTGATATTAAAAATTCTACTGAATTGGAGCTCAAAAATATCGAACAATTCGAACAAACAACAATTAATTTAACACTAAATACAAACAAGACAAATTTTGTTAAATGTTTAAAAATGGACTTGACGATCAAGCAATAAATAGTCAGACATGTATTAAAACAAATTTATTTTAAAAAACAATAGAATGATCCATAGAACAAATGATTTGTGATTAAAAGTCTATTTTCTTAAATGTGATAAAACATTACAAAAAAATGTTAAAAAGTTAAGTGCTATAAGTAATTATCAAATTTAGACCCAAGGCCTATGCAGGTAAACATCATTGTTCACAAAAATAACCTCACAGACTTACCCATATGTTCATACTAGCAGTTCACATATTATGACCAAAATGTTTATCCTGATAAAAAACAAATAATTTAATACAGAGGGACCTCAATAACTTGAAGCTGAAGAGGGAAGAGTTGAGTTTATTAAGCAAGGTCTAGCTATCAAGGGATATATCTCGATTACTCAAATTATAGCTAAAAATACTGAGGTGTTGATTTCTACCATAATGTTGTCAGCACCTCCATAACCCGACTTGTATTGGCTAAAGTTTATAACTGGAACTTAAGCTATTTCTGCACTGACGGGTAAGTGAGGATTAAAAAAAAAAATTAGTTCATGAGCTATTGAGGCCCTACTGTAATTGTTTGAAATCAAACTTAAGTGAAAAACTTGTGGAAACAGCAGTGGTGGAGAAATTTAAAACAGAATGTTGATGATAACCAGCTTGAGGATTTGTTTATCTATCAAAATTTATCATTTGTAATCGGAATTTACTGCTTTGCTCATCACAAGTTGTTCTGTACTGTTGGGAAATGTAAAGCTAGGTATAAGCAATATTTACTGCCAATAAAAACAAGATAAAAAAACTAGAAGAGCACTGATAACAATAAAATCAACTTGAAACCCTGTTCAACAAAGAATACTAAGAATATTATATCTAAATCTACATAAAGTAAGCATATCGTTCCGTATGGTAGACTCAATTAAAATTAACATTAAAAAATGTTGCAAAAAACAGATAGGAAGAAACAAATATATAAAAAACAACAAATAAAATACTACCTAGTTAAAGTAACATAAATTCTCACATTCTAAAAGGTCTTGCACTATTTTTATGATTCACATTTCTCCCATACACAAACCATGTTGTTGTTGGTAACAGCAACAATGTTCTCTCTGTTGCTGGAAATGGCTACTTTGGCGACGACGATGTCGTAGGTGTCGACTGAGAGTTTTCGTCTCTTCTCCGTGTGGGGGTCAGTCAACGTGGGCCAGGGGAGAACACAGCTTGGTCTGACAGTGACAGGACAGTCAGGCTCTGCAGGGTCCAGTCTGTCGAGATCATACAGCCACAGAGATCCTTGGTCATCACCACAACACAGCATGTTGGCCTCTGTACATACAATGTTACAGCTAACTTTTTAAGAAAATTTTCAATTGCTTAGCTAAACTAAATTCTGTTTACCATCATCAGCAGAAATTAATTATGATTTCCACCTCCTCGATATAATAAGCAATAGATGCATTCCAGCAATCTGTAATGTAAAGTAAAATTGTGTAAAGCAAGGACTGCTGTATTCATAAACTTCCGATTTGGTGAAAATTTGATGTTGCATCCTAGTGAAAATAGTTACGTAACTAATAATTTTTTTTTTTATTATGTAGGGTGTCCACACCAGGCCAACCAGAAAAAAAATTCATGAGTAATAAATTTCAGGTAGTTCAGGCGGTACTTTTCATTCATAACAAACTTTCCACTGTGTTTTCACTACACAACATTTCACTAGTTATCAAAAAAAGCATACTCCAAAATTTTTACTACAAAATTTTTTATTGCTGTAATATTGCCTGACATAACTAGCAATTTTAAAATTTTACTCCAATTAAAAAAGCTGAAAATTAAAAAGCTAAATTTTCAAACTTGCAATTTATGAATAACTCATTAATAAAATAAAAATTGTGATGATTCAATACCAAATTTATCGATTTTCCATACTGATACCTGAAAAATCTATGCTCGATATCGATACCATTTTTTACTAAAGTTTTTGTATGAATTACACCAACCCCTGTCTTTAAGTACTTCTAACTAGTGGTGTGCCATCCTAAAATTATCGATCAAGCCCAACTCGAGGTAATATTATGATCTACCACTGTCATACCACTGTCATAAAGAGATCATCCACACCTTCCGTGATTGCGGAAATATTATGAATATATATATTATGGAAATATTATGAATATGTCTCCTGCAGTCGTTTATACAATATCATTGTCTTCTGCGGTCATGGAAAAATTATATCATCTACCACAGTCATGGCAAAATCCTGAATATATCCCGCAGTAACGGAATCGTCTTCCGAGATTGAGGCAAAATCATGAACATCTCCTGCGGTCGTGTAGATATTATCATGGTCTTCCCCGAACACTGCAAAATTCTAGTAATTTCCCGGGGTTGTGAGGACTTTATCATCTTCCGCGACCGTGACAAAAATCCCTTGTTGGGGCCGTGTGTGTAGACATCATTATCGTCTCCCGCGGTAACGGAAACGTTATCAAAATCTTCCAGGATCGTGACAAAATTATGATCATCCCACGCGGATGTGTACTGTGTAGATATTATTATTTAATCCCATGGTAGTGTGGACATCATCTGCCAGAGCCGGACTCGTTGTCGTCAACGAGGGAAACAAGCCAATTTTCCGGCGCCCTGGGATGCGGGGAACGATTCCAGACATAACCCTTGCATCTGAGTCCCTTTTGCCAAGGATCAGAGCCTGGAGAGTCCTGGAGGATTACACGGGCAGTGACCACCAGAACATTATTTTTGATGTCCTGGATGGTCATCAGAGACAAGTAGCCGCGTTTCGTCAAGTGCCCGTTCGATGGAATATTAAAAAATTGGACGTAGCAAAATTCAATGAAGCCATCTTACGAGGGACACCGGTGGTTCATCCCGCAACTAGCGTGGCTCACGCAGAGGCGTTAGTTACATCCATGATGGGACTAATCGTCTCGGCTTGCGATGAGTCTATGCCTCCCAAGGAGATCCCGGTACAATAAGCGACCTGTGTACTGGTGGACTGCCGAGATTGCGGAATTGCTTTGGTCAGCATTGAGAGCCAGAAGACTTGCTACCAGGGCCAGAGAACCTGTAGACAGACGTCGTAAGTCGGATGCTTACAGAGTGGCTAGGAGGTCTCTTCGTCGAGCCATCAACCGGAGTAAACGCAGTTGCTGGGAGACATTAAGGGACGATATCGATTCCAATCCATGGGGCCTGGGTTACAAACTTGTAACCAAGAAACTTGGCACCCGCTCTCCACCTTCCGTCATGGATGGGGCCACTATGGAGAGGATAGTCGAGTCCCTTTTCCCGGCTCACACGTTGCCCCCACTGTGGGATTTTGGAAGGGTGGATGACGTACCACTTTTCAGTCTTGGAGAGGTGGAGGCGGCCGTCCTATCCCTGAAGAACAATAAGGCTCCTGGACCCGATGGGGTACCCGGCGAAGTCCTCAAAAAGGTTTTGACTACTAACCCCTTGATCCTTTTGCGCATGTACAACGCCTGCCTAGTCGAAGGAGTTTTCCCCTCGTGCTGGAAAACAGCTAGGCTTGTGCTTGTTGGGAAGGGGAAGGGAGACCCAGACCTGCCATCCTCTTACAGACCTCTGTGTATGTTAGATACGGCTGGCAAAGTCCTCGAGAAGTTGATTCATTCTGACTGAATTCAGCCGTGGTCGCTGCGGGGGACCTGTCCCCTCGCCAGTATGGATTCAGGATGGGGCGATCTACGGTTGACGCTGTTGAGGAGGTGAAGCAAGCCGTGATGAGAGCTGAGGATTTTAACCACTACTCTCGTAGGGTTGTGCTGCTCGTAACTCTTGATGTGCGAAACGCATTTAATTCCGCGAGGTGGTGCGATATGCTGGATGCTCTGGAGAACACCTTCCACGTCCCGGCATACATCATGCGTATCATAGAGGATTATCTCCGGTTCCGCCTCCACATGTATGACACTACAGAGGGCCCACGGACGATGAGTGTCACTTCCGGTGCTGCCCAAGGTTCCATACTCGGCCCAGTCCTCTGGAATGTCGCGTATGACAGCCTTCTGAGGTCTGAAATGCCTGAGGAAACTGTTTTGGTTGGTTACGCGGACGACGTTGCAGTTTTCATAGCTGCACGTACAGTAGACTCCTCTTATCCGGACACCTTTTAACCGGACATCTGTTTAACCGGACTACACTCGGCGGAAATGACATATCTTTAACCGGACAATTTTTATCAGCACATTGGTTTAACCGGACTAGATCGGCAGGAAGTGGGCGGTACTGAAACAACTGTTCTCGTGGGAAAGATTTAAGACCAGTTATCACATGAATAAATACAATGCCCTCCTAAATTTAAGTTGAATATCACAGTAAACGGTCTGTTTTAACAAGTTTTTGGGGACGTCGGTTTAACCGGAAAACCCGTTATCCGGACTGGCCTCGGTCCCGAGGAGTCCGGATAAGAGGGAGTGTACTGTAGCGTCGAGCTGGCTCAGCTAAAGCTGAACCGAGTTATGCGTACTATAAACGCATGGATGACAGACCGCGGTCTCTCGCTTGCTTTGAGCAAAACTGAGATCGTGGTATTAACAAAAAAACGGATTGACACCATCGTGCCGTTGAGGGTAGGGGCCGTCGAAGTCCAGACCGTTCGTTCTGCCAAGTACCTTGGGATTATGGTGGACAGCAAGCTTAGCTGGCGGGATCAGATTTTCCGTACGGCGGACAAGGCCGCTAGGGCGGTCTCCTCTCTTAGCCGGTTGATGGCCAATGTCGGAGGGCCTCGGTCCAGCCGTATAAGGCTGTTAATGTCTTCTGTCCAGTCCGTACTCTTGTATGGTGCTGAGGTGTGGGCAGACGCTCTCAACAAGGAGGTATATAGGATGCGGCTCGCCCGAGTGCAGCGTCAGGCAGCACTAAGAGTTGCATCCGCCTACCGAACAGTGTCCGAACCTGCCGTCCTGGTGGTTGCTGGAGTCATCCCCGTCAAACTTTTGGCGGCGGAGAGAAAAGCAATTTATCAGCGCAGTGGGGGGACCAGGCACGAACAGAGGAACGCACCCGCACCTACCAGCTGTGGCAGGAGAGCTGGGAACAGGAGAATCGGGGACGCTGGACCAGGCGACTGATACAGCAAGTCCAACCTTGGGTTAATCGGCGGTGCGGAGAGGTGGACTTCTACCTCACCCAATTTCTGACGGGTCACGGCTTTTTCCGGTCGTACCTGTTCAAGATGGGCAAAGCCGTGTCACCCGATTGCATATACTGCCCAGGCATTCCCGATGACTTGGAACATACCTTTTTCCACTGCCAGCGTTAGGAAAGGCCCCACCTGGAGGCTCAACAGTTAGTAGGACTGCTGTCAGTGGACACAGTCATACCGATGATGACGGAGGGTGAGGACAATTGGACCTGTGTGTCACATTACATCCAGGGTGTTCTCCGCGCCAAGAAGCTCGACCTTGAACGGGATGCGGTGTAGGTCATGAAGTATCTAAATGCCAAAAACGGTGAGAGCCCTGATGGCTTAGGTCACATGTTGGCCTGACTTGAAGTAATGTGACAAAAAATTCCAGGTCTGTGTCCAACAGAGTAGAGGGGGTTTTTTAGTGAGTAGTCTGTGATAGATTCAGGAGTCTCACACTACAGGCTGGCTACCTGTGTGCGTAAAAGCATTTTCCCTCCTCTCCCTTAAAAAAAAAGTGTGGACATCATCGTCTCCCTCGGTAACGGAAAAGTCATCATCATGTGCGATTGTGGTAAATTAAAAACTCCTGGTAGAAATACTGGGGGTGTCCAGACTTTATCTTGCATGCTCATCTTAAATGAAAATGGCTGCCATTTCGATTAGGGGTGTGATATTGACCTCTGGTTTGCGCCATTCAATTTCTCTTGACAAACCCTTTAAAATGAGGGGTCACATGATAGGTGTTTACATTTGAAAATTTGGAGCTGCCCCCAAAATACCCCATTTTGGGGGCTGGGGCAAAGTTATAACTTTGATCAAAAAGTGCAATTTCTTATGTTGTAAATATGTGCCGAGTTTGATTTTCCTACTGCAGCGTGTTAAAAAAAAAGTTAACTGGGGGGTTCCAGACTTTTGCCTAACCCTGTATATAAGTCCTTACCTACCACCACACGAGCATGCAATATACGGCTGTCTGTGTGAAAATCATACATTTTCTAAATTTAAACCGGAGATAGTCTGCATATTGCCCTTGTGCCTTATAAGGAAGATTGCAAAAGCAACATTCAAAGGAAATTGTAGTCGCTTGAATTCAAAGGGCAATTCGGGTTAAATCATCGCTATTCTAGGGACTAAGACTATTTAAAGACTCCTTTAAACTTAACCACTGATGATTCTTATTTTGATCAAGTTTGGTGTCATTTTTTTAATCGTCAGTTTGGTTCCGTTGCACAGCTTAAGGGTGGATTTAAGTTTTGCATTAGTATTATTGGAGTTCCTTCTTTTAACACGTTCGCTACCGAGCGACGCACATTTGCGTCGGTCCGGTCACTCCTACAGACCGAAAGGAATGATCATGACGTTGCTTACAGACCAAGTGATATAGGAATAACATTGCCGACAGACCAAAAGAGAAATATCGTTTAAATGGACTAATTGACTTTATATTAACCATAAGTGAATTAGTAAGCAATGAATATTGTTTTTATTTATCGTTTTGAGCAAATTTTAAAACGACGCATATATGCGTCGGTCAGTCTATTTAATGAAATCCAGTCAAAAATATTACATTTTCGTTACAATAGACCAGGTGACGCACGTAAGCGTCGTTGTAAATTTGGTTGTTTGAAGGAAAAGTTTGAACAAATAAAAATTGTTTTGGTATAAAACTTGTATTTGGTACAAAAATTACATCATTACTGATATAGATGTCATACATATAAAACTTTGAGCTACTAAACTCACCTAAAATGTCTTGTCTTTCTAAAAAAACTCACATAAAAAATGTCTTGTATTGCTAATAAACTCACATAAAAATGTCTTGTATTGCTAATAAACTCACATAAAAATGTCTTGTATTGCTAATAAACTCACATAAAAATGTCTTGTGTTGCTAATAAACTCACATAAAAATGTCTTGTATTTCTTATAAACTCACATAAAAATGTCTTTTCTTGCCATCAGTGGTTTGGTTTAGTTGCCGTGGTGTTCCCTAAAACATGGAGAGATGCAGAATCCCAACGCCTTCTCCTTAGGGTCTTTACAAACGTTGCAGATGTAAAATGTATCGGTCCTCTTGCTATGTTTTGACCTGCAAACGTAGCACCTTACTCTTTTTTCCAATTTCATAGGCAAATGTTGGGACACTGCTGATGAGATGCTAGGGCGAAGAGGATGTTTTACTGGCTCCACTTGAAGGAAGTGTTTAATAATGATGTCCCTGTAGCTGAGGTATGTCATCTTTCCGTTAAGCTTAGAAAAGAGATAAACACTATTCCAAAGTGATACGTCCAACAAATGGAGAAATATCTTCACGTACCAGCGAAGGGACTTGCGTGGAGTTGAGTAATAAGATAGCATCTGGTCGCTTCTATCAATGCCACTCATACCTTTATTATAGGCTACAATCCTTGATGGCTTCTTTATCACCACGCCTCTTCTGTTTGTGACATTCTCCATCTCTGGACCATTTGTTGTGGAAATGGTTAGCACGTTTCTCTTGTCTCTCCACTTCATTACCGTCACGTCACCCTTTTGTCGACTAATATACTCTCCCTTCTTCAGCTTGGCCTGCACCACAACCTGCGGATTACCAGACCTGTCAGCCTGCAGGGTCCCGCACATGTTCGTTTGGTGCTTCAAAAGGGTTTCAGCCAAATCAACACTATTATAAAAATTGTCCAAAAACACAGCATGGCCTTTGTGTAAGTAGTTTTCCATGAGCTTCATGACCACTTGATAGGTGTGACCCTTCTCTTCGTTTGTCAGTGTGCCTTTCCCTTGATAAATAATTATATTGAGAATATAGCCGTCGGAAGTGCAAAGTTCATAAAGCTTTATTCCGTACTTGTGGGCTTTGTTTTTTATGTACTGGCGAAACGATAGGCGTCCGCGAAACAAGACCATTGCTTCGTCAAGGGATAAGTTTTTCCCAGGACTGTAAACTTTGTTACAGTTTTCCAAAACCTGATTTAGTACCTGATCAATTTTGTGCATTTTGTGGTTGGTGGGATCTGTATCCCGATCATAAAAACATAGACACTGTAAAATACTCTCATATCTGTTGCGAGCCATTGTACTGCCGAATATCGGGTGTTCATACAGTGGATCTTTCGACCAATAGTGTTTTAATGTGGGGATGTCTACATTACCCATAAGTATGGTTAGGCCTAAGAACTTTTTTAGTTCTTCTCTGGTAATATCAGTCCATCTGTTCAGTGCTGCATATTTTGGAAGGGATTCCCCTCGAGATGTTGCAGCTCTTTTGTTAGTCCATGCCACGATCTTATCCATGAGGGCGTCGTCAAAAATAGAGCTAAATATGGCAATCGGATCTGTTGTTTCTATGTTAACTTTCTCTTGGCCAGTAAACTCAAACTGCTGTGGCGCATTATTTGTGTCTTTCCATAACCCTTCAACAGCCTCGTAATGATTGTGGATGGAATTGACAACAAACTCTACATTTGTATCTACATAGGGTAATTCACTGTTCTGGTCGTTGTTTTCAAGGTTAACCCCATTGATTTCATTTTCAGGTTCCCCATCATTATTTTTTTCTACAGTAAAAGGAATCTCTAGTTCCTGAAAAACATCCATATTTCCATTGACGACCACGTTTTCAACTTCATTATTGAAATGTTCAAATACCTCGTCCATATTCTGTTCGACAGTAGACGACTCACAAGCTGCATCTATCCCCATGTCTTCTTGTAGTTCGTGGTAGTCTTGTTCACAAGATGAAGAATCATCGCTATCCGAAGTTGGGATATATTCAGTGGCTCCATCGGAAGAAAACAATGAACTTAGTTCAGAATCACTATCACTTTCGTTACTGATCATACGATCAATTTCACTATCAGTATATAAAAAAGATGGGTTTTTAGGCCTAGTAGGCCTATTGCGTTTCATGATCAAGCTTTTACACAAACAAATAAAGAAACTCCACTAAACACTAGCCAAAACTGCAGAGGTTAGAGTGTTTACATCTGTTCTGTGATGTCGCGGAATACACAATGTTGCCAACTGTTGTGTGACGTAACCAATCGTCATATCCACAGACCAAGCGACGCACATTTGCGGCAGATATCCCTCTAGACTGAAACGATACAATCAGGGCTTTAAAATAGACCGTTGCTAAGCAATACGCAGATTAATAACATTAGAACACCGACGCAACTGTGCGTCGTTAGTCTATTTCAATGTGACCAGCTGACGCAAATATGCGTCGGTGGTCTATTGTGAGAAACCAGTCGACGCACAATTGCGTCGCTGGTCTATGCGAACGTAAATTTCATATAATTGTGGTAGCGAACATGTTAAAGACAGTAATGTGGTGGGTTAATGACAAATTGGGAAGCACTTGAATACCTGAGATAGCACACACGAGACACGATTATTACTAACTTAATAATTTATGTTAGATTGTGTTGGGTATAGAACAAAAGATAAAAATACTAAGGCATTGCCATCCCTTTTATTGTTTATAATATTTTGATAAAGGTTTTTATGTTTACATATTTAATAGTGGAGAATTTAAAGGTTGTTGAGTGCACAGGTGTGCTGCAGTTGAGGTTTAATATATTTGGACTTATCCGAAAGTAAACTAGTTGTCTGTGCTGCATTCTGTGGAAACAGTGAGGCAATATTTCAAATCATGACTAATACAGAATGTTGTGATTATTCAAACCTACAAAACAGTTGTAGAAAGTAAACTTCTGCTTTTAAATTATATTTTTTTGTAAATATTGTAGTTCCAAAATTCTGACATTGGACCCTTTAAAACCTCTCACCTCTGGGGCAGAGCCCTTTTGACCGATCTGCACCAAACTTCACACAAACCATCCTTGAATAATCTATACTTATAAAAGGCAAAGCCCTCTCTGACTCACTGACTGACTCACTCACTCACTCATCACTAATTCTCCCACTCCCCATTTACTTAGGAGGCTGAAATTCGGTACACCGATTCTTTGGGCATTAAATAGGAAAACTATGTAGTTTTTATTCTGATCGGGCTTTTGGGCTCTGCCCCAGTGGCTCTGGAGTTTCCCATGTTAACTTTATGAGTACTCATATTTATATGGAATTAAAGAATCTTAACAGCTGGTTCAACTAAATAAGTTGATTCTGTGATGTTCAATAGCATTAAAGAGTTAATAGGTTTACCAACAGGGTGCAGCACTATTATTTTTTTAAATTATTATGACAACAGCTTGCAACCAAAAGGTGAGTAAGCGTAGCAAACGAACTTCAATCAGGACGTGATTGAGCCATGCGAACGAGCTCATCTTGAAAATTAAGAAGTTAAACGGGGCAAAGCCCGCGGGTACAGCTAGTGCTTAATAATGCCCGAAAGTTTCATTACAATCTGTCAAGCGGTTTCGGAGTCCATAGGGTATATACATACATACATACATATATACATACATACATACATACATACTCTTTTAAATAGATATAGATAAAATAACAAAGAAAAAAATGTTTGTTTTACCTAACCGCAGCTGGTTTTGGATGATATCTGTTTTCCATGGCAACACAACATTGTTTGTCAAAATAAAAGTACATGCGCAAAACAAGAGGCAAGATATTTACAAAACATCATAAAAGTAAGAAGAAACAAAAAGGGAGGGAAATAATAATAAAATAACTAGTGGCGTTGCGTAGTGTGAAACTCGTATGTCAGCGCCAATGGGTTAACTAACACTGACCTGGTTGCACGCCCATGTACATGAAGTAGTTGTCCGTGTTGCTCCACTGCAGTATATGAGTCGGCCTCACTTCATGTGTGCCAGAGTTGAGAGTGTCAGTTAGATTCCATAAGTAGATGACTCCGTGGAGCACACACTTGGTGGCAATCACTCCTCCCCCAACAGCCTCCACGGAATCCACCATGTCCTGTTTAGGGCCTCCTTTTCTTGTTGGTAACGTTAATTTGATGGAATTCCGCTCTCTAGCACAAATGAATAAACAAACATAAATAAATATCTCTCTTAGTCACATTTTAGACAGAATAGAGTCGCTATTAACCGTTCAAGGCTGGATTTATTTAACACGTGACGGACCCTGCTATGGTAGTTTTTTCCAAAACCGCACCAAACCATCCCACATTTTTCTCTTTGCTTTTTGGTGTAAGGTTTGGTGCTAGTTATTATTAACGTTTCAGAGGGCGCATTGGTTTTCAAAACGGGAGAGGGAACTCTTAATTATAAAATAACTTAATTATATTTTATAAATATAAAATTAAACTATTATTCTATCAAATGTTCTAACATAAAAGTATTAAAAGAAATCTTTTACAAGAATATATTCAAGAAGTTAATTTTAATTTTCACCACAATGTCCTGTAATGCGGTTCTAGATGATAAAACTCACAATAGGCCTACCTGATGTTTTAAGTAATTTAACATAATGGGTATCTTAATACTACATGACTCTGTACACTTGTCGTTCGTAAATCTTCCTTTCAGCACTGGCTAAGAGTGTTGCAATTCGAAATTTAACTTCTTCACTCATCGTTTAAAAACTATACAAGCTGCTATAACCGTGCTTTGCAATGGGAAGAAAATGTGACCTAGAGAGCTATTAAAGTGGGGCTGATGTGTGTTTTAAAATACAGCAACTCTAGTTTGAAAATATAAACTGATTTAAAAGTGTAAACCTAATTACGTTCAAACCCCTACTTTTGATGTTAATAGATCCAAAAGATAATGACATCATACCTCAGTGTAGCAATATCATCAATTGCTTCATATTGATACTTCATGAATGACATGTTTTATCATAATTCTTCAATTTTAGTCAAGCCTCTTTACATGTAGCTTACTATAAATTACAAAATGAAACTTTAAACAATACTTTACAAAACATATGCAGTATTCCTTTTAAAACCAAACATTTAACCCTCCTTAATCCATGGTGGAAGGAAAAAACATAGGTGTGCTATTCCCGTCATATTCTGACGTCACTCGGATTGCAAACAAAAGATCACCTGTTGGTTGTTATTGTTTTTATAATAAAAAAACAATAACAATCAAATCAAAACAAATACATACTAATATGTATTTGTATTTATATTGTAAATATCAAGTATATGTATTTGTTTCGATTTGGTTGTTATTGTTTTTATTAGGGATGGACGAGATTGGATTTTTAGTTCGAGACGAGATTTTTTATTTCTCATAAACTTTTGAGACGAGATCGAGACGGGATTTCCCTTCTCATACACAACGGGAAATGCACGTTCAAAATTTTTACCTGATTTTGTAACATTGTTAGATGACTGTTTAAATACAAAAATAATGATAATAGGCAAGAATATTTACAATCTTTTATTAAAAAACATCAGCATAACATTTTTTTATTAATAACGCCTAACTTATTAAAAATGCCTACGATTAGGAAACATAGTGATATCAGTTAGGATAAGAGTTCAACTTATCCTAAAATAAAATAAATCATAAAATAAAAGCAATATTAATTTTTATAAAATAGTTAGGTACTTGTTTTGACTTTTTATAGTAATAAACATTCCTCACACTGCTTACATTTAACAAAACTTCTCAAATGTTATTAAAGTAATATTATTAAAATAATTAAAGTAATATTTACATTTAAAGAATTAATTAAATAAGAACGCCTTCGCAAAGGAAACGCAACTACAACACGCTCCTGTATTGCGGGTATTGCATTGACTTTCTGCAGGCGTTTTAATTTTTATTTTATTTTTTTTTTTTTATTCTCTTCTCGATAAAAATCTCGGCCAAAAAGAAATCTCGTCTCGTGTAACGAGATTTAAAATTTCCCGAAAATTTCCGGAAATTTCGAGACTTGACCATCCCTAGTTTTTATAATAAAAAAACAATAACAATCAAATCAAAACAAATACATACTAATTTGACAGTTTACAAGCAGGTGATCTTTTGTTCGCAATCCGAGTGACGTCAGAATATGACGGGAATTAGCACACCTATGTTTTTTTTCCTTCCACCATGTCCTCAATCTACATAAAGCGTCACAAACATATGTTTCGAGTAAATAAACAAACACCAGTTCATTGTACTGAGCAGCTGTTTCATTAACTTCTGAAATAGTTCACTGACTTGTTGTCAGATGCCACCACCAACCGGGTTGCGTATGTCGAGCGGGTCTTGTTAAACCGTAGCATTGTGTGACGAGGAAGGGGTGTGAACAAAAAATTACAGAATGAAGGCTCGTCAAAACACCTTGAAGAGTTAGAATATATCTTTGACTGTTGACACAACTTCAGTATCCAATAGTCAATACAATGCCAATATACAATTTTACATAAATGTACAGTGTTAAACATAAATTTACAAAGTTATCTAGTTGTATCAAAAAAATTTAAACCTAGCAAAATTAGAGGCTGAATCATTATACTCATAAAATTTTATTACATAGATTTCACAGGATAGGCTGTTAAATAACAAAAAGTATTATGCTTGACCTAGACCAAATTGTTCCACATATCGCTAACTGTTATTACGCTAAAGAATATTTATAGGAAAAAACTAGGTAGTTGAACACATTTTTTAAACATTACATTAGAAACTAATAAGTGATGAAGTATGCAACTACTCCAGTTGATCTACCTTCATTGATGCTGCAGCACATATAAGTACTGTACTTTATAATTTTTTTGTAAAAATATCAAACAACCTTGGAATCTTATGAGTGCAATCTCTTATGAACATGATAATAAGGAAACATTTAATTTACTTACTCAGACTTAATATCATCCACAGAATAATTCCAGCCAAGCAATCCGCTATCACAGCCTATCAGCAGTGTGTTGTTGACGGGGCAGAAAGTGAAACTAATGATCTCCGATTGAGTGGAGAATTGTTGTAAAACCTCAAAGTCCACTTTATACTCAGGAGGAGATGGATTACCGATGTTACAGAGGTGAATGTCCCCGTCGCTCCCACCACCTGTCATATTAAATATGTTTAGTTGTTAAAGATACTATTTCTATATGATGTAATTCAACATTCAACATTAAAAGAGTAACGTTTAAACTGAACAATAACTTTATCCTTTATTTTCTTGCAGTGGCTACAACAGTTAGTGAAAAATCTGAGTACAAACAACATGATTTTGCTTGTAAAAAGTACAATGAACCAGGCAAACCACAAACTAATATAGGCCTACATAACAATTCTAAAAAGTGTAGTAATAAAACATTTAAATTAGTAAAATATCCTGGAGAAGTTTAAAGTGAACCTGGAGGTATGAAGTTGCCAGTCAATTTACTAAAACTAGAGGTCGTCCACTACTACTATCACCCCATGCTGTAAATAATACATATGATTGGAATTTCTTCCATTTGTTTTGATCTTCTGTTTATATTTTGTTGTTATTTCGTCACCATCATGGCAAACTATAAGGTCCTTGTCAATTATTTAAAATTTTAAATTCATTTTTTTTTTTTGCTTATGTTTGAGGCTATTTTAATTTCTAAAGGGATTCTGCACATCTACAGGAAAATGTCTTTCATTTGGTACCAAACGCGTGTAATTCGGCCCAGTAGTATGGTAAGGCTAGCTGTCATAAGTTTTGCAAAAGTTTTTTAGTATATAAGACGAGAGCTCGGCCTGTGGTCGAAAAATCGACCAAAAGGATATATTGTGAAAACTTCTCTACTTTCACCCCACGCTGTAAATAAAACATGTGATTGGAAATTCTTTAATTTGTTTTGATTTTCTGATTATATTAATTGTTGTTATTTCGTCACCAACATAGCAACCCATAAGTTCCATGTTATTTTTTAAAATTAAAATTTTTTTTCTTATTTTTGATCCTATTTTAATTTATAAAGAGATTCTGTACATCTACAGGAAAACCTCTTTCATTTGGTACCAACAGGGTGTAATTTTGTCCAGTAGTATGGTCAGGCTAGCTGTCATAAGTTTTGCAAAAGTTTTTAGTTTAACCCTCCGAGCGTCCATCGTCGAAAAATCGACGCGCTACACACTTTGTGTAGTGTCACGCGTCGATTTTTTGACGCACGAACATCGTTTATGGCGAAGGCTCTATGACTGACTGAATCGGATTGAACTGGATCGATTTAGGTATCGTTCTTTCCGTTATATTCTAAGCTTTCTCCAGAGGTCTGTCTCAGCGCTGTATGTTCTCCGAGCCGATCGTAATTGTATCAGACAGCTGACGTGCGTATTCGTAAACAGCTTGGTTATCCTCGGACCGATGACTGATGTGTTTTATTACGTTTATCATTGTTTTAGTGTTAAAAATCAAAAGTAGTGATATACGTGGTGCATTATAAGAAGATTTAAGTGATTTTGAAGGGCTGGTTGATGATCCTGAAGAAGTAGGTAGTGATATTGATGTAAATTATCAGCCAGATTCCTAGCTATGGTTAGGCTATGCATTCTTAGCTAAACGCTATGTACTGAAATCCGTTTTTCACTCATAACTTATTTATTTGATAACTTACCTCACTATATGATTATATATTTGTAATCCTCATTAAATTTAGAACAAAGTGGCTATTTTCAAATATTTATAGGCCTATAATTTATACGATTTCATTGAGCGCGAACTTATTTTTTTTTTCAATTTTTCCAAAATAATTTTTTTTTACCTAAAAAATTTTTTTGAAACGAATATTCCTTATGTTTTATGTATGATATTGAAGCCCATGATTTTCCAAACAAAATGGTATATAGAACATTAGAATTAACATTGTTTTAAAACCTTGCAAATGCGCCAAAAATAGGTGGACATTAAGGCCTAAACTATGGACACTTGGAGGGATATAAGATTAAGTAAAGGAATAGTAAACTTTTCAGGCACATGGGGAAAAATTGAGTTACCTTTCATTTAACACAAACTGCATGTAAATCGGTCCAATATAACTCCAGATCTCACTCTTAATAGGCTAAAAATTGTAACCCATTTTAAATTGTCAATAGATATTTTAATTTCCGTTTGTATAACATTTACTCCAGTAATAGCTGAAGTCAAAGCAAAATGGGCAAACATTTAACATACAGACAATAACCTTTCATTTGGTACAAACCACGTGTAAATCAGTCCAGTAGTATGGTCAGGGTGTCTGTTGTAAGCTTAAAACAATCTCCATAATAAACGTTTTCTTTTTATATTGGTTCCTAGAGGTCGCACCGTGATCGAAAACTCTACCCATAAGGCCCATGTTATTTTTTTTTAATATTTAATTAATTTTTTGGCTTATTTTTAAGCTTATTTTATTTTATAAAGGGATTCTGTGATGATTTTAAAAGATTTTCCTTGCGATGCACACGAGCTGAGAAAAATGGTTTTAAAGAAACATCCTTGCCTATTAACCCCTTCGCTTAAAGCGACGGCGAATCGAGCCATTGTTTGAAGCGACGGCGAATCGCCGTCCGCCATTAAAACCAATATCTGCCGAGTTAGTTCCCAAAAAATCCAACAGATCGCATATGCTTCTTGTTCTGCAAGCTTCAGGCTTTCATTTGGTTGTATTTTTGTCGTCCACAGCCTGCCCAATCGGCATAAACAATCAATTGAAAATTACGATTTACCAGCTGACGTTGGGAACGTTGTCTTGGCAGCTGTCTGCCTTGTTTGTTTATGTTTACATCGTCATTTCACAACAGTGTTTATATCATGATGAATTCTATTTTTCGTTTGCAAATAGTTGTTTTATAAACTAAATAAGATGAGTAACTTTTTATTTGTTGATGAGTGTGGAAGGGAATTGGACGAAAGTGAAATTGCTAAACTTATTGAATGTGACAGTGACTCAGACAGTGATTGTTATTTATTTGAAGAAAGGCTTGAGAGTGATGATGATTTGGAAATAAACAATGAACACACAAGTGAAGCATGCAATAGTATAAGTATAGCTGATAATGGTGTGACAGAGCATGCTAGCCCTAGGCCTGTTATAAATAGTGATTGTTTGCATGACCTGCATGTTAGGCCTAGGCCTGTAAATAATGATTGTTTGCATGACCAGCCCTCTTGTAGTTATGCCCCACCTATGTCCCCTCAAAATGTGCCTCATAGGCCTAGTCCTGTGTCCTATGAACAGCAAAGTTCTGATGATGAAAACCCTGTTGAATTTATGGATAAAATTTACCGAGGTAGGGTAATTGCACCTGCACTATCTCCTACACCCAGTGAGGAGGCTGAGGCTGATGACCCTAGTTTTATTGAAAACATTCCTTGTCAAGTACCTGAGTATAGTAGAGTATAGTAGAGAGTAGAGTAGGTGCAACAATTGGTAGATCAAGGGGAAGGGGAAGACAAAGAGGTAGGCCTAAAGGAAAAAATCCTAGTTTAGTGCTACCTAAGCCTACTAAACGGTCTAAGGGCCAACCTAAAAAAGCTAAGAAAAAGAAAAAACAAGGTTGGAAATGGACCAACACTATAGAAGACAATAGTATTTTCAAAATACCTTTTACAGGCTGTCCTGGTATCAGGGCAAGCTTAGCAAGAAATTTAGGTCCTTCTCCATCTGAAGTTGAAGTATTCAACGCGTTTGTCGAGGATGATTTTTGGCAACATGTTGCTACAGAAACGAACAAATACGCCGAAGAGACTATTGAAAAAAATAATGCAAGTGGTAAAGATAAACAGTTACTCTCTGAATGGTTTGAAACAACTCCTGATGAAATGGCTTGTTTTTACAGTCTATGTGTTTTGATGTCACTTGTGAAGAAAAGGACCATTCAATCGTATTGGGCCCCTACTGCTACTACTGAGACTCCGTTTTTTCGAAAAGTTATCCCTTTTCGTAGGTTTTTGCTCTTATCAACAATGTTCCATATTTGTGATAATAAAAATAAGCCCCAGAATGACAAACTGTGGAAACTGAGGTATGTCATTGATTATATGAATCAAAAGTTTTCACGGTTATATTTGGCCGATGAAAACATTGCAGTAGATGAAAGCTTGATGAAATTTCGTGGGAGGTTGGGGTATGTGCAATTCAACCCCAAGAAACGAGCCAGGTTCGGGATAAAATTTTACAAATGTTTTGAGTCAAACAGTGGATACTGTACAAAATTTAAAATATACACTGGGGCTGAAGTGAAACAAGGTGAAATAGTGGAAGAAGGGGGTGTAGACACTGCTGAGGATGATAAACTTTTGGTGAGCGAGGCCATAGTCATTGAAATGGTCAAGGAATGTTCCGGTAATGGTCATACCCTAACAATTGACAACTGGGATTTCTCACCTCTCCTCTACTATAGATTGAAACATATTGGTTTCAATGTGATCGGGACGGTGAACTCTTGGAGGACAAATATGCCTGACAGTTTCAAAAGTGGAAAACTTGATGTCGGTGATTATGAAGTTGCGTTTAGCCATGACATGATGGCCCTTAGATGGCAGGACAAGAAAGAAGTGTGTCTCTTGTCTACTTTCCACAGTAAGGGAGACAAAAAAACAACTGGAAAGAGAGACAGAGTCAGCGGTGAGGTGATTACCAAGCCTGAACCTATCCTCCATTACAACAGCTCGATGGGCGGTATCGACCGAGAAGACCAACTGCTCGATTCTTTTTCTACAATGAGGAGATATGCTAAAGGGTAAGAAGATTTTTTTTTTATATTTTGGACAAAGCCCTCTTCAACTCTTATGTTGTTTTTAAAAAAATCACCCACAAGAAGATAGGATTTGCTGAGTTCAAAAATAAATTTACGGAGCAAGTGTTCCAGACCAGACAACTACCGGCCTACAAACGAAGAGAGCGGCCATCAACATCTGAAACCCCTCTACGGCTTCAAGCAGCTTCTTGGGGTCATTTCCCAAGACAAATCCCACCTAACGAAGTAAAGCAAAACCCATCAAGACGCTGTAAAGTTTGTAGTGCACAAGGGAAGCGTAGTGACAGTCGGTGGGAGTGCGAAATGTGCCTTGTTGCTCTTCACCTACCCGAATGTTTCAAGACATATCATACTAAGTTGAACTTTGCTTGATATCTTTTTGAGTCTACAACATGTCAATCAGTATTTTAAGGCAGAACAGTAAGATATTTTTAACTTTTATAGTAATTTTTTTTTTTTAAAGAAAAAAAAAATTTTGTAATTTTTTGTTTTTGTATTATATGGTATAAAAAAATAATAAAAATAATTTTAACCAATAAAATATTAGTTCAGGGTGTCTACTACATTCTGGATAAAAAATTCATGGACAATTCCCGTACATTTAAGGACACTTCGCCGTAACCTTTGTCGGTGTCATTAGGCCTACCGAATAATTTTCCTGATTTGTCAAAGTGTATTAATCTTGTTATTCACTGTAGTTGTACCAGAGAGAAAAGTAAATAATAATAGATAAGAGTTAAAAATTACAAAATAGAAATTTATTGAAAGTAAACAAACATAGGCCTACCTATACTTTAGGTAAAGCTTGTATAGTGTAACAGAGAAACGCAATCATTGTTTCCTGCGATAGCGAAAAATATCTCCATCGGTCACGTAAACTTCATAACATAGCTTATCCGATCCAGGCCTATTAATTTGGCATGATTCGTCCTGGCACGACGTTAGGTTCTTGACTACTTTTGAAAAAACATCTTTAATGCATATTGTTACTCAATTCTTAGTACAAAATCAAGGTATGGATTATTGTATTTGCAAAGTTAATATCGACACATAGCAATCATTAGTTGTTTAACTTTGGCACAATTACATTTTCTTAATATATTTTACAGCTCTTTCAAGAATCAAAATACCCAGGCCTAGACCTAATTATTTAGGAGGGCCTATATAAACTGAGATGAGGTTATAATAGCAGCAAAGTCACTATCATCATTCTAGTTCATAAGATTTAGATTGCTTAAAGCATACAACTCAATAAATAAATATATGGGAAACAAAAAACATTGAAACCTGAATAGCCAACAATATAAGACAAAGATACAGAAAATGCAATGACATAATTTGAAACCAAGCAGGCTTACATAGTGATAAAACATTAATGCAAACAACAATGCTTGTGGTTTTGTCAATTGAAAGATAAAATGTCCATAAAAAAGGGGTTAACTTACAAAATAAGACTGTAGATTATTTACATGTTTAATATGAAACCATAAACAGTTTTATGGCACTAGGCACTGGCCGCGGCAAATTGAATCTTCCAAGCCGAAAGTACAAGTAAGAAGTGAAATTTAACAGCCATTATAAAGCTATTATTTTCACGATAAAATAGGTTTGGGATCTAATAATAATTACCCTAGTAATAAAAAAAGAAGTTGTAAAGGAATAAAAGTTTATGAGCTAGCTGCTGAGTCAACAGTTCTTGGAAGTACTTGACTTGACACTTGATTGTCGTGATAAAATATTAATGGGTTTGAGATTGTTAATGGGATTTTTATTGCATAATTACTCTAGTAATAAATTATGAAAATGTAAACAAACATCTGATAAACCTTTTATGTGCTCCTAACCAACTAGCGATCAATAAAATTATGGCCCATTAAAAATTTAAGGACATAGTCTGGCATTTAAGGACAATTCCCGTACATTTCATGGCCAGTAAAAATTTAAGTACAATTCCCGGTTTTCCCGGATTTCCCGGTTGGTAGACACCCTGTAGTTTTTTTTAAATCTACATTCAATTCTGATTAGAAAAATAACAGTATTTGATCTACAAATACAAAATTCTGAGTGCAGGTAAAAATATTGCAAATTGTGTAAAATTACACATAAATAATTCATTTTTTTGGCCCGGTTAGGTGTAAAAATAAGTTTAAGCGAAGGGGTTAATATATAGATTCAATGTTAGCAGCAGAAAATTACAAAGTGCAGACAATTTTTCAAACAAAACATTACAACATAATATGATGTATGCTCCAAGGTCTTGTAGGTAATTTAATGTTACTGTTTTCCTAGCAGAGCGGAACACCATATTAATCTCTTTCCCGCTCTCCGTGTTCCTCTCTCCGCTCTTCGCTTTCGCACCTAGGAAAACCCAGCTTTACACAATTTCTTTCCAGACCATTTTGTAGAGCTTAAAAAAATTCCCATGATATTCTTATGGAGAATAAATAAACTGTTGTAGTTTGCTTGCTTATGGATACTGTATATTTAGATCAAATTTGGCAATTTTGTTTATTTCATACTAAGCTATCAACATTTCAATAAAAAAACACACCTCAATACCTTCCCTGCAGCAGCTAACCTAGGTACTCATTAAAATTAATGTTATTAAAATAGGAAATAATTCTGAAAATTTTCAGGGAATATTTTTGGAAATTCACTTAGTTTGCAGGTTTGCTGCGGCGGGGGTATAAAAACAATTTTTTTTTGTGGATGTCTTTGAGCTTTTTGATGATAACTAGTAACTACCCATAAGAAAATGAAATTTGAATCCATCCCGTAGCAGTACTATCAATAATAGAGTTTTTAGTTTAAATTGGTTTGATTTCACTTTTGCTTTTATTTAATTGATGACATTTGTATTGAATTAATGATACCTACAAAACAACAGGTTCCATTGTTCTGGATGAAAAAGAAGACTATTGATGATATTTTTCTTGCTGGTTTTCTTCACAGCTTTTACTCCAAATGCTATACCATTTACTGAGTCTAGAAAGTGCACTGAGTACATTGCTCCAGCACACACAAGAAATGAGTAAGAAAGGTTGACAGTCCAAGCCAGCGCATACAGCATTTCTCTGCACAGAAAAACAGAACTTGTATACAATCCTTATTTGTAACCTAAATGCTTTAAGCGCATAATACCCATGTTAGTGTTTTAAATCACTCAAAGCACTGTTTAATTGTTGTTAGTGAATTTCTTATATAGTAATAAGCTATAAGTAAGTAATAAGTAATAAGTTAATAAGCTAGGCCACTTAGCAATTAATGACAAATTAAATTAAATGAATTTTTTTTATCTACACAGTTGAAGTTAGGGCCACATTGCCCTTTCTTACACTTGAATTTAATCAAGACGGCCACACTAAGTAAACCCCGACCCAAGGTGACAGTATATCTTACGCGCCCAGGAGTGTTTTTGGGTCGCAGAGACAAATTCCTTTTCATGTTATCTTAAAGCACTGGCCTTATGATTACTTTAGGCGACAAGTCGCTCCGTCTCACACCCAGTCCCTGAACTGTTTTCATGTATATCTTCTTCAGTTTTGATTTGGCAGTGGTATAATATGAAAAAAAAGTTAAAATTCTTCAGTAGATCTAACATGGTTAAATTGCAATAAATTTTTAAGTAAAATTAGTCACGTCTCGTGTGTGTATATATATATTTTAAAGTTTGTATTTTAGTATTAAGAAGATTTTTCTTTTATATGAGTGTGTGTTTGTTCGTTGTGTTCATAATAATTTACTGTCTGAAAACTGAGATGAAAAATGCTAGGTATGCGTTGTGCTGTAGCTATATGTAATAACAGTTATTTTAAGACTAAAACTCGATCCGACATAGTGTCATATTTTAAATTTCAAAAGAAAGATATACGCTCTGTCTGGGTTGAACGTTGCAAAAGAAAGGATTCTTGGAAGCCTGACACTTCTTATATTTGGTCAGAACACTTTAAATCAGAAGATTTCGAAAGGGATTTAAAATCAGATCTATTGGGTTTAGGTAAAGTAAAAAAATCTCAAGTCTAGGGCTGTTCCCTCCATAAAAACTCTTACTTTCTGAAAACAGTATCAACAGTGATGCGGAATGATCTAAAAAACGGAAATTAAAACAAGTATCTCGGGAAAACGAACAGTTTGTGCAAGCTGCGTTGTCAAAAGAAGATGATATAAATGTAAATGATAACCTTACAGATAAAGATCCTAAGACTGCTTTGATACCACCGACTATTAATTATGAAGAAGAGTATAAGAAATTAAGTAAAGGGTTGGAAAAGGTAAAAGAAGAATATGAATCAACATTATCAGCTTCAAGGTGTGAAAATGTTCGACTGGTCAAAGAAAAATGTGCTAGTGTTAAAGTAAGAAATTCAAGAAATTAAAGAAGAAACATTCTTAAAGGAACCTTTTCTGATACCCAAATAAATATTTTATTTAATCTGAACAAAAAAGTTAAAGTGTGGTCTAATGAGGACATTACGAAAGCTTTTATCATTAGATACTATAGTAAGCAATGCTACATTTATTTGAGAACTCAAATGAAAACTCCTCTTCCCTGTTTAAGCACATTAAAAATTGGACATAGAAATTGCATCTTAAATGGGGAATGCTCCGAGGGGTTCTAGGCCTTATGAGGGTTGCTGCACAGCAAATGACAACTTTGGAGAGATGAGAGAATGATGAGATGAAAGTAAAATTTTTTTCCTTAATAAGAGGGGGTGGGGGCATGAATGATCACCCTACTCCTATAGAATGTTTGTATAGAATGCGCATGATTGTGTTAGGGAAGAACACGGGTACGGTTAGGAGCAATGTGAATACTGTGAACACGTCAGATAAATTCATAATTCGGAAAGTTTTAAGAGAAAGCTCTGTATCATGCAGTACTGACCAAGAGATAAAGGTGCCCTTCGACTCCGAAGAGAATGAAAAAAGTGATGTGGATGAGAAGGAATCAGTTGAGATGTTAAAAGGATAGTTTGGAAGTTTGTGTATCGAAAGATGGACTTAACTATATAGCAGGATGGATAGCAAAAAAGTTCAGAAATAAATATCCTAACCTTGGAAATTTTAGGCCTACCTACCAACGCGAAAAAAAGCGTCAACCTGGATTGGTGAGATATTCTTAGGGGGTTTAACAGAACCAACAGTGGATTTTATGGAAAAATTGAGATATTAGAAGTGAAATTCCAAAAAATTGCAAATTGAAGATTTTAAAAGGCCCAATGTGAAGAAATTAAGTGGTAAAGTTGATTGTTTCCCTGTAGACATTATCGAGCTATTTGCACGAAGAAGAATAATAATGAGAGTGAAGTTTTTAAACAGACAAAAATAATGAATAACAAAGAAAAAAGCTTAATAAAATACATCAGTAGAAAATTTGTAAATATAAAGAACTCTAATACCATAATGTAAAACCGTAATGTACTTCTATAGTGTGTGGAAAAAGCAACATATTACCTAGTAATCTTTCACTTCCAGAGACCAGCACCATACTTTGGGAATCGACTAAATACATGTAAGAGTGAAAATCAACCGGGAGGCAAGCTTTAAAATAATTAGGTCACGGGCAGGGACGTCATCAAAATGGTCGCTTAGCCAATTATAATAATGTCATATATCTCGGAAACGACATTATTTTAATTTCATTTTCACAAAGAAACTGTGATTTAAAAAAGAAACAATAATGTGGAGAATTCATTAGGCTATATTGAGGGAAAGACGCAGACAATTTGTTAAGTAGAGGTTAAATTTGCTATGTAGAGGTTCTGACAATGATAAATTTGTTTTATTGAGGTGTCTTATTTTAGTCAAGATCGTCAAAAATTTGTTAAATCAAGGTTGATATGATTAGTTTGTTATGTAAAGGTAAAATATACATTGCGTCTTATTAAGAATTCTAGGGAATTTAAAATAAATTTGTTATATCAAGGAATTTGTTATATCGAGGTTTGTTATGTCAAGATAAGACTGTATAATAATTCAAAATAGTACCTAATAACATGTATTTTAAGGCCTAATACAAAAACATGCAATAAGGGTCATAAAGTCTTACTTACTTCCATAATCAATGACCTGATTTTTTAAATATCTCCTAACTCATTTTACTGGTATGATTTTAAAATTCATATCACTGAAAGGTTGTTATTATCAACAAGTGTGGCCTCCTCTAGTGACCAGGTATTGAGTCACACTAAAAAATTTAAGTATTGTGAGAGTAGAAATTTTTTATTAACACGTTCGCTACTGCAATAGTACGAAATTTTCCATTCACATGGACCAGCGACGCACATATGCGACGGCCGGTTTCCACCCATAGACTGCCGTCACATATATGCGTCGGCTAGTCACATTGAAATAGACTGCCGTCGCATATTTGCGTCGGGGTTCTAATGTTATTAAATTGCTTATATCTTTGTAGTGGTCTATTTGAAGGGACTGAATTCCCTGCAGTGGTCTACAGAGATGTCTGGCGCACAACTGCGTCGCTTGGTCTGTGGATATGATGATTGGTGACGTCATGTAATAGTTGGAAAAACTGGTCTTTACTTTTCTGCATCACTGTAAGTATGTATGGGTCAATGTCATAGAATGGGATAAGTTATGTCTCAGGTATAAATAAAAAATAAAACTGAATAAAAAATTATTAAATGTGTGTACTTACTTATTTACCTTATTTCCCAATAATATATTCCTTTATTTTAGCAATTACATGCATAATTTAAAAGTTTTATAGGTTACAGACAGGCGCATATTTACAGTCCGGTCACTAACCTAAACATCAAATGAGATGTCAAATATGGAAAAACTCTAAAAACACGATAGAGCTTTGAATAAAGGTTATACGTAATACTTATTATTCAAATATGTCATCTGTTCAATCTTACAATTGGTCGGAATATTGATTTTTCGACCTAATACGCCAGTCTCCAAGTGCCACCGAGATATGGACTGTGAAAATGACGTAGCCCGCCAAAGCAGCAACAAAAGTTGTAAAGCGCGGCAAATCGTCCCAGCCTTGTGAGTACCTTGGTAAAGTTGCTGTGAGTTGAAGTTTTTGCCAGAAAAAGTGTTGATTTTGAAATTATAATCAAAACAACAGGTAAGAAACACATCGTACCTTAATTATGTTACAGTTCGGTCACTCACACTAATCCGATATATTCCAATAAAACTGGCAAATCAAACGTTGGACTAGCTGTAGAATTGTGCACAGAGCATAACCTGAAAATGAGGCCTAGTCTCGTCAACTAGCCTAGGAGCTATATAAATAATAGTAAGATTACAGTCCGGTCACCAACAGTCCGGTCACGTTACCGGAGCTGTTTTTCCGTGACCGGGCTGTAATATAGTGCCAAAATGTATAATAAACGCAGGTTGCGTTTATTTTATTATGTTATTTGATATTCTAAATTTAACTAACAACACAAATATTAAACTTTAACTAAAAATAGTAAAAAAAAAACTAAATTGTTATAAGAAATTTGTTTCCAAAATATCCAGGTATGAATGAATTTCCGTTTTAGTTCTTTGTTATATATTTAATATTTGTCATTTACGATTCTATGGTCAGTTTTTAACCATATGTAGGCCTAAGCTCAAATATTCGCAGAACAGGATGGACGCATACTCAAAGTCTTAGTTTAGTCACGGCGGCGGCAGCCCGGTCACGGCGGCGACAGCCCGGTCACGGCCGCGACAGCCCGGTCACGGCCGCGACAGCCCGGTCACGGTACTGATTTATAAAAATTAAGAAAAATGCATTGGTAATTTTTTTTTACAATAGGTAGTTTGTAAACTAATTGTATTTCAATGTTACTGAACTTTTTTCAAATACAAGTGTATATTTAATTAACTAGGCTATGATGGATTTTGTTGACTTTTAAGAGGAGTTTATATTTAATTTCACCTTTATCAATCACTTTTCATGAAAAAAACAAACATTTAGTCTAAAACCTGTTGAAATAGTGTTATTTCCTAATTATTAATATGTTTTTTTTTTTTTTATTGAACAATATTTACTGTTTTTTTTTTTTTAATAACAATAGGTGTGACTGTACTTGGTGACCTGAAAAATAGA